GCGTGTGTGATGAGGGTCTTCAAATTACAAAAATGTAGGAGTTCGAAGAGAGGCCAGAAACGAAACACAAAGGAGACAGACAAGGACATTTTGCTGGTATTCCATTTCGTTAATCTTCTATTTCCACTACCATGTACAACCTTCTTAAATTCTAGGCCAGTGATGGCAAAACTTTTAGAGACCCAGTGCCCAAACTGCAATCCAAAACCCACTATGTACTGCAAATGCCAGTGCTGCCCTGTGAACGCTGTTAGCTGAAGCTCGGCTGCTGGGTCAACTTGGCTCGAGTGCCAACAGAAATTAGAGCTCTGCATGCCTGCTATGGCACGTGTGCCACAGGTTAGCCACCACTGTTCTAGACATTGTCACAGGCCAGCATTTATCACTATCTAATCCTACATATTGTGTCATGCTTATTACCCTCCCACTCCCTAAAATCTGAGATTAGTGAAGGTAGAGATATTTTGTCTAATTTCTTCACTTCTGTCTCTCATCCCTAAAATAGTACCTGGAACATAGCAGGTCTATTTTGAACAAAAAATAAATAAATTTCGCAAATAGGAAAAATCCATGAAGATAGAGGGTAGCTCTGTGGTTGCCTAGATTTAGCAGGGAGGGATTAGGCAAAGTGCTTTGTTTTGGGATAGCAGAAATGATCTAAATTTGAGTGTGGTCATGGTTGTACAACTCTGTCACTATGCTAAAATCTACTGAGTTAGACCCTTTAACTTTGTATCTTATAGCATGCAACTTTTAGTTCAATAAAACTGTTATTTTAACTTTCAAATATTGGCCTCCAATGGCATCTTCATGGGACAGTTGCTCACAAGGGTGCTTCAACTCTGGTTAGCAAAGGCTGTCCTTTGAGCTTTGAAAATGCTGCTGGTGGATCTAAAGATCAAGGCATTTTCCTGCTGAAACTTCTGTTCTCCAGCAGTAATCTAGGAAGTTTTGTACTATTTAAGTTTTCAAAAGCAAGCATGGAGTATCAAAGACTAAACACAACTGATGCAGTTATGTGGAAATTAAACACAGTTCTCTCAAACCAACTCATTATGGTCTTTTTAAAAATGGGACAGTCATTGTATTCCTGGCCATTTAATGCTATTAAACTAATAATCTCAAGGAAAACATCTGTTAATAGCCCTGAGCCTTTTTTCCCACTGTGCCCCAAGACAGGAGAGTTTAAGTAGTTGACTTTCATTATCACTGTGGCATTATTCTGATGCTGGGAACTATGTTTTCTGAGGGGAATTCTCACCTGGGACAACCTTGTTTCTTTACCCAAGTCGTTTTATTCCTCTCGCATTCACACCCTCCTCCCAGGAGAGTAATAGCTAAAATAGCATCCACCCATGGCCTGCCGATTTGGAGATTTTACACAATGTTGCTACTTCACCTCCCCTCTTGGAAGATATTTGGAGGATTTTTAAGAAATAGCTTTCTCTTTAGCCATGAAAAGTATCCAATTTTGTTTATTTGGTTTTCATTGTTTGGGATGTCTACAGTTTCCCTTATTTGTTCCATTTTATTATTTGCTGTTCTAAAGTTTTTACTTTCCTCAGTATATTTGTGGGGATTTTTTTTTTCTTGGAAGGTTTGATTTTCTTGTGGTGCTACAACTAGATCCCAGGGCCTCACCCATGGCAGGCAAGTGCACTACCACTAGGCTACATCTCCAGCCCTCCCCCGGCTATTTCTAAATTTTCTTTTATCTTCTAGTTCTAGCAATTTGATTTTGATTATATTAAGGCTTACTTCTTTGGGGTATTTGCCAAGCTTCTTAGATCTACTGATACATAGTTTTCTAACAGATTATTTTTTTAATTGGTCATTATTTCTTAAAATAATATTACCCCCACCTCTTTTTTAGAATTTCATAGTACATAATAATCAGACTGCTTACTATTATTGTTTGACATGTCACTGAATTCCAGTATTTATTTACATTTTTATTCCTTAGTTTATATAGTCTCTATTGCTCTATCTTGATTGATGTTCTTTTCTGCATTCTGTACTCTGCTGATAATTTTGTCTAATTTGTTGGTAATTCTACTATGGAATTTTTAAATTTTCTTAATATTTAGCTCTAGAAGTTCCATTTCTTTTAGATCCTCTGTTTCTTTCATTATGTTTTTAGTTTTTCTTTTAAATCTAATAGGATATTTATGAAAGCTATATCACAGTGTACTTATTTCATCATTTCTTTTATTTCTAAGTCTTTTCGGTCCATAGTTATTTCTCCTGGTCATAGTGAACAGCTTCAGTTTCTTTACACACCTCAGCATTATTGCACACAAGTTGAATTTTGTCCTATTATCTTGTAGGTGTTCGGATTGTGTTCTCTTTTAACACAAATGTTAAACTTTAAAGAATGTTGAACTTTGTTTTGACAGGTCTCTAAGTGATTTTTACATCAATTTGATCCTTTTAAGGATACATTTTAAGTTTTGTAAGGGAAGATCCAGAATAGTCTTCAGAATTATTTCAGCTTTGGTGCTAAGGTATGACTTGTCTTAAGTTTTTTCTGAGCATCTGGATGGTGACTGTATGCTCTCCACTCTGGTTGTAAGAACTTATTGTCTTCCAGTGCTGTATAAATAGATTAAAGTGCAATAGATTTTTCTACCCAATATGGTAGAGTTTAGTATATTCTAGCTTACTGTATGGTACCAGTTCCAGTGGACTTGGATGCAGATTTCTAATGTTCTTCCTCTGTGTAGCCTTCTCCCCTCCAATACCTTCTTCCTTTTCAATTCCATCCTCCTTTCTCTCCCCTAACTTCATTCTCTGTCTTCTCCATTTAGAAAGATCTTCACGCTTTGCTTAAATTTCCTCCCTTGGGCCATGACCTAGAACACGCCCATAGGTAGAAATCCAGGGCTTCATTTATTTATCTTTGTCATGGATCATAGTCAGGAACTTGTCAAATATCTAAAAGCAGTGTATTCATATAATGTTTCTAATATCCTAGCTATTTATGGTATGAGAGCAAGTTCAGTAAAATTTAGTCTCATATGGCCAGAGGTACAAATTTTGTATGCATAATGTACTATGATCAAAGATTTACATAAAATCTAAATTTCCTTTTGAAAAAGAGAAGGTTCCAGCCATTCTTAACTTTCACAGCTGCATCAACTGGAGCTGAGTTGCAAGTCCCAATTTTGAAGGTGCATGGATAAATTTTCTGATTTCCCCGTAAGTGACTTTATACACTGTACACCCTTATACTTTGTAATGATTCCAAGCTTAGTTAATACTACTATCAGATAATATTACTGGGGAGTACTGTTGACTAAATAGTTGGAATTTTTGAAATATAGATTAAAAAGTAAAACTTTAAAATAACAATATTTTATGTGACATTCTGGAAACTGACATCAAGTAGTATAGAAAAAATGCAAGATGTTATGATAATATAAAGATACACATGAAACAAATTTCAAATGGAATAAAAGATTTAAATATTCTGAGATAGCAATATTGAGGAAGAAGCTACTTAGTTGCTTATGGATCTGTGAGATAAGTACAGTGAACAGAACCTGTTGGAATATATACACCTATGTACATCTTTAACATGTTATTCTCCAAATGACATCAGTGGTGACAAGTTTGAGCATTTGGCTGTTCCTATTCAAATCCCATCCTGTTTTCTTTCCTGGCCTTAGTGTCCTATCTCTCTATCCCCTCTATCCTCTCAGATTCTTACACTTAACTCTGCAGTCAAAATGATTTCTTCTCTTCTTGACCTTCCACATCATTAGTTGACAAGATTATGGATTTTACCTCTGTAGTTTCTCTCCCATCTCTTCCCCCTCTTTATATTACTGATATCATTATCTCTTCCCATTTCTTTTTTTCCCCAGCTGGTTTCCACAATAAATATTGCCCAAAATTAATCTTGTAAATATAAACTCATATCATATTACTTCCCTATTTACAAATTTTCCATGGTCCCATAGGGTTTATAGGATGAAATTAAAACTTCCCAACATTTCTAGATCCTCCACAACCCTAGCCATGAACTTGCTGAAACTAATATATGTTCCAAATAGGCTTCCATCCTTTCTGATCCCTTTTTTTACTTTCTGCTATCACATCTGTCCGAAATGTCTACAGCAGTATTTTAATGTATCCAAACTCAACTCAGGACTCCAAATTCAGCTCCATGGCTGATCAATGACTGATGGGTTTTTTCCTTCATCCTATTTTAAAGCTTTCCCTCAGACTATTGGATAATGTAAGCAGTTTTTCTATTGGTATTAAATTTCAATATATCAATTATTACCTTGCATTATTGTTCTTTTCATAGGTTTATTATCTTCCTACATGTCTTGATAATGGATCATTTCCCTGAAGGGAGGATTCAGGTGCATAATTGTCTCTTCTATAGAGAGACTCCTGCTGAGTGGCAATACGATGAATACTTCTCTGAAACCTGTGATGCAGTCTGCTGGCACTGTAATTTGCATCACAAGTAAACATTGGTTACTAGCAAAATTGTGTACATTGATATTTTATAATCATGGTGCGATTATAACCTAATTTCGTGCTTAATATGATTTTGTGTATTCTAAGAGGCCTGATTTGGGAGGGAAAAAAGAAAAAAGAAAAGAAACCAAAGATCTGGAAACCCACAGGCTCTTTTCTTAATCATGTGTCTTGGCAGTGAGTATTGCAATATGTTGCCACCTATTAATTAAATCCGTACTCTGGCGAATTAGCCAGGAGAGAGAAAATTTAAAAGGGGTGGGGAGAAGAATGAGGATAATAGTCTAGGAAACCATGTGGGTAATCAGAACCTTTGATGTAGCAATATCCTACCATACCTTTTCTCAGGGGCTGTGAAAACACTGCAAGGAGGTAAGGGAGCCAAGAAAATCTTGCACGTTTGAATGGAAAATCACCACTGAAATATTACATTGCTTCATCTTATATGAATAAGTAATACTGAATCTAAAGCAGGAGGCAATTATCAGCTTACCCTGGGTCAGTGTTAGCTGATGAACCTCACAGACCATCTAGATTCTAGAGCATCATTAACCATTGCTGTGTCTCAGTGTATCCGTGCGCCCTTGACAGCTGAGGACCCCGCCTCTAGAAAAATGCACAGAATTCCAGGTCACATGAAGGTTGAGAGTTGGTGCTCAAGAACATATATGCTCATTAAAGATGAGACAAATACATCGGCAGAGGAGCTGAGGATTTGCTCAGGATCAACCCACACAGGAAGTGAGTGACGGAGAAAGCCACTGCTGAGCACCTCCCAGACTCGGGCTGCGATTTGGGTTTATCCAGCTCATCTTCTCTCACATGCAGTAAAGTACAGCAAAGAAACTTAGTCATTTTACTTGCGTAATACTTACCTGTTTGCTCTACAGAAGGGAAACTAAAATACAAATGTAATTCTTTTTGTGTCAGGCACTGTGCTAGCTCCTTATTAGTAGTAAAATAGGCCACATATCCTATTTTATTACAACTGCAAGCATAGGATAATTTTGTTCTTATTCTTTAATGAGGAAATGAAGATTAAGTGAGGTGCCGTGACTCTCCCAGATTCGCACAGATTACATTAATTAGGGTCAGATGTGAACAGCTAGCTCTTACTTTGATTTCAGTTTTCTTTTTGCTAATTCTTCTTACCTTCTGGTTATGCTAAACGAATTCTCTGGGGAGACTTCTTTTGACCTGGAAAATTAAAGAAGTCATTGCTGTTATGGTAGCAATGATAATTAGGAACAACTGAAGAAGTAAATACTATGTAGAAAACCTACCCACAGAATTTTATCTATCTTTACCTCTTCTGGCTCAAGTTTTCTAGGTATTATTCCAGCTAAATTTATGTATCTCTTCCCTCTCCAGTTAAAATACTAGCCTGAGAGGTGACTGCACAGGTGGTAGAAGAATTTTGGAGAGCCATGTGTTAACATATGTCAAGAACCTTGAAGTTTTGCTTGTATTTTGTTTCTGTAATCCTAGGTCCATTAATTTATCTGATGGAAATTACTGAACAATGGACATCAAACAAGGGCCCCAAGATGTATGTCTAAAGCAGTTTAGCATGTTATAAAAATATAACATGAAGCTAAGTATTTAGCAATAGAAACTAAGCATGATCATACAGTACAAAATATATGGTCATTACAAATGATTCTGTACATATGTTTATTGGAATGCAAGTAGTTTCATGCCATGGTTTTTGAGCTAAAATGTGAGTCATGCTATACATGTGGTTCTGTGACTTACTTTCTCATTCTTTTAAAGCTCTACATATTATTATAGTGTTACTATATATTATTTTACTCTTCCATATTAGTGCATATCTCAATATTCCTTTTCAAATTTTTGAACATTGTGATAGTCTTTATGTCTTCTCTCAGGGCTCCCAAGGAAGGGGTCTCTATGCCTTTCTTCACTTTTCTGGGAATTTCCTTGACATGGCATCTTATATTCTAGCCACAATATTGATAATAATAAAGCTTTATGATCTAGGTTAGTCAGGTTTAGTTCATGAAATGTAAAGAAATGTAAACTTCAAAACTGTCTTCCTCATTCAAGAAACCTTGGCTTTTAAGATGATTTCTTTGCTGGGGAATTAAAAATTTCTGAATTCAAAATGTGAACCTTAGCTCTTTTTTGTCTCTTTGCACATCTGCTTTAAAATCTTAATTTGTCTCCAATTCAATGGAGGCCTCTCAATGAACAGGTCATAGAGAAGAAAACGGCAAACGATAAAGGCACATTCATGTATTTTAAAAGCATTTCCCCCCCTCAACATTTTCATTTAATTTGAAAAGAAAAAGGAGCTTCACAGTAAGTTTTTCCATACAAGAAAATCTTATATCTTTGAAATAACTTGGGTCTTATGTATCCAAAAATTTATTATCATTTACATTCATTACTGCTTTCATTCCTAGGTATTTTACTACTTTCATTCCTAGGTATTTTACAGATTGCTGTCAAAGTGTGAGTTTCTTTTTATATAATTTTCAATTTACTGATAATGCCTAGGAAATCAATTTATTTTTATAATTTTATATAGATATCTTATTGAGACTTTTTACCTTTTTTCTTAGAGACCAATCCTGCTCTTTTTTATCCTAGGTAGACAAGAGTGACAATCTTCTATCTCTTCCTTCTGAGTATTTTTTCCTCTTATTTCTTGTTATGTGTTTTGCATTAGCTAGAATCTTCAGGAAAGTTTTTTAAATGTTGGAGAGTATTGGTGACATAGGATAATCGTACCACTTTTTAAAAAGCTTTTACAACTTTTCTGTAAGTGTTCTAGTCATTTACAGCTAAATGTAATATTTCTGTTAATTTCATTCAGGGTGTGTGATTTTCTTTCTGTTCTAAATTACAAGAGATCTTAATTTAAAAAAGAATCAGGAATGGGTGGTACCTGTCCTTGAGATGAGCATGGTTTCCCTTTCTTTAATCTTTTGATCTATTGAATTACAAAGATTGATTTCCCAGTGTTGGAACCTTCTTATATTCCTCAGTAAATCCTCTTTGGTCATGGTGTGTTATTAGATTTAATTTGTGAATACTTTAGTATTTTATATCATGATGTTTGTTAGTGAGAATGCTCTATAGCTGGGAAGCTGTCCATCAATTTCTATGCTTTGGAATAGTTTATGTAACATAAGAATTATCTTTTCCTGGATATTTTGGCACAGTATAATGCCAAGGGAGAAAAAGTAATTTATAGACCATTATGTATAATATGATCTTTTTTGAAAATATAAATATACATATGAAAAAGTCTGGATGAATATATCAAAGATTAGCACTACTTCTGAGGACCCACATTATTGTTTTGTTTTGATTTTTGCTAAATTATAATGTTTACCTTGCCTGTAGTGGACGTGGATATTTAGGGAAAAAAAAAATAAGGGCATCCAATGTTGCATAGAGGCAAAAGCATTTCAAAGCCGGTGACTGGAAACCAATTATTCCTGGAACAATCTCTCCAGCCCTCTGAGCAATGACATAGTGCAGTGATTTGATTTCTCAGTGCCAAACCTTTCCACCAGGTACAACACCTGTATTTCTAAAACCTAGTTAGGTCCCCATTTCTGTGCTCACAACCAACTTTTGATCAGTGTTGTTCTAGTCTGGTTATTCTATGTATCTTCTGAGACTAGTCCCTTTCTGGATACTGTAATTTTTTCCCCTAACTTTTGGGCATGATAGTGTCAGCTACACCCTGATGCACCGTGGCTCCTTTCACATTGAGAAATCCCATCCTACAGCTCTCAGTTGGGAACTGATGCTTTAGTAAAGGCAATATGGTGAAAGAAGAATTTCTGGGTCTCCTTTCCCTGGGCTTTTATCACGATATGTCCGGGATGCCTACTTTTCTTCATCTAGATCAGGTTTTTCTAAACTGCAGCCTGTGGAGCGGACATATACCTTGCTTGGGCTGCTGAGCCAAAAGTTCTCTTGAGTCACATATAAAATATATAATATAGTTAATGTATGTGAACAACAAAAGTTCCTTTCTAATAGCTTTTATTGTAACATTGGTCCAACTCAACATAGTACACATGAGAAACCACATCCACAGACTGAAATTTGATTTTATTTTTTGACCAAAAACCAGAGTCACCCTTCCCAGGGAGGTCTGTTGACTAGGTTTGAAGTGACTACAGATTTCCTCTGATTGATGATGTTTCCAAAGTTTTCTCTTATACTTTAGCATCAGGGTCCTCTGCAGTTTTTTCAGTCATTTAGAAATGACCTGGGGCTGCAGATATTATCTGTTTCAGCAGTCCCCTCTAGTTTAGGTCCCAGTATATCACAGCTAGGGAAATCCTTCTTGCTGTATCTACCCCTCTCATTATGGGTTTTGGATATTGCATGAATACTGCCAGACTTGCAAAATACACTGCCACTTAGGAAACCTGCTGGGTCAAAATAACGTTCTCTTTCAGTGGTGCCTGCTGGGGCGTATGGGGAATGCACTCTTCTTTCTAACTATTTGACACATAGCAGTTTTCCCCTCTGTCTCATATATAAGGGCCTCCTCCAAAATCTACAAAATTGTAGCAGTTTTGACTAAGTCATTAGGCTTCTGGAGTTTCTTACCATAATGTCAAACAAAATACTTCCCCTTTGGGATCATCAGCCACCACTAGGTGGAATTCCAAATTGAGAGATGGTAGAATTCAGTGGTTAAGAAGCTGGACACTGGTATGGAATTGGTGCATCCAAAGTGGGTCTGTGATTTTAATTATATTTGCTTGACCAAGTGAATCTTTCTTCACTTCTTTTGCTCTATCTATAAATCTGGGAAAATAATAGGACCTACTTCATTATGCTTTGTGAATCGGAAGTGAGAAAATGAATATGAAGCTCTGAGCAGAGTGTCTGAATTGCGGCTATTTTTTCAGCAAGTGCTCTCTGCTATGTTAGGAAGTGCCCGGCTCCCTTCCCATCTTCACTGTTTGTGTTGCCTACACACATCCTCCTTGCTCATTTCGTCATTCCTCACCTGCTCCGCAGGCTCTCAGTATTGCTTTCCTAAGCATCTCCGGAGGGTCTGAGATGATTTCATAACTATGCACACGCAACAGACAAAACTGTTGTTTTTGAACCTCCTCATTTTCGGCGATCCTCTCTTCCACTCATTTACACCCATAGTCACACATCAGCTCTCATCATCACCAGGAGCAATGTCACCTCTTAGATTGGCGACTGATTCTCACTCTCTAATACAACTCTGCCTTTCACCTTACTCTCCAGAGAGCCCTTGTTTTACCAGCGCTAGGACGTCATCACAGCCCCTCTGATCCCCCTCCTTCTCAGTCTCTATCACCGATCTTCCTCTGTTCTATCTCTGTATTCAGACTACCTTCTGCGATCTCTCATTACGGTATTGCCCCTGTCCACAGCCTTTTCTGTTGCGCCCACCTCCAAAACTCCTAGCCCTTAGATATACACCAATTTCAGTCCTCAGTGCTCAGAAAACTTTTATGAAATTATAGGGGAAAAGCCGGGATGACTAGACTGCAAAAGAAGAAACAAAAATCTCTACTTAAGAAAGACAATATTCCAGATGATTTTACTATAGTCTTTTCAGGAATATATAAATG